GCTTCCCATCTGCCATGCTGTCCTCGCTTGGAGCCAGCTGACTGTGGACTGAAATCTCTAGGAACAGTGGGCCAAAATAAGCCTCCCCTTTAAATTGTGGGGGTGGAATCGAGCAGGTAAGTTGGTCCAGTGAAAAGAATGTAACTAACACTGAAACTATGCTGAAGCCATTCTCGAATTGCAGTGATTGCTTCTTCAAGTATGTTTCATGTCCTCTTTCTGGAAAGGTTACGATTGAGATATTAGATCCTCAAAGTATGTTATATTTTACTGCTTTTCTATGTGTTAAGTTCTTGTTCTTTTTTTTTTTTTTTTTCTATATTTTAGGGAAGGGCCTACAGCGTGTTCAGGATCTCACTATTAGATTGAACTCATAGTGATCCACCTGTTCACAGCCTCCCAAGAGCTGGGATTACAGGCACACGCTACCACGCCCAGTCTCAATTGCCAGCTCAATGTGCCCGGGGGGCAGGGGCAGCGTGGCTGGCCCAGGATCAAACCCCCAACTCCGCTGACCCTGGTGCCTGCTTGCAAGCAACTTTAATCTGCTAAGCTAATTGGCTGGCCCTAAATTCTTGTTCTTAATCTGCAATTTTCTTATCTTTATATAAGAAGTTATCTTATTTTTTCTATTATATATTTAATATTAGGTTCTATTAACATTTTGTTAAAATACATTTTCCTGCTATTCTTTTCTTTTTCTTTTTTTTTTCTTTTTTTTTTTTTCTGGCTGGCTCAGAATGCCTTCAGGGCAGGTTTGGCTGGCTTGAGTTGTGGGGATCAAACCACAGCAACCTGAGGCTAACTGCTTTGTTGAAGCAGCCACTTAAAAAATTGAGCTAAGGGGCAGGCCCCCTTTCCTGCTATTCTTTCATTCTTGTCCTAAGACATTCAGTAATATGAAAATTCTATCTTATTATATACCAAACTAAACTATATATGGCACATTATATAATTCATCCATTCCAACTGTTACATCTGAGGTTTAGTCAACCTAACAGATTGATCAAACCACCACTCTAAATCGTCTTGAGATTATTCTGTTCATCCAGATAACTCTCACAAGGCCATTATCTATTAATCTTCATTTCCCCAACTGCTGTTTGCTTCCTATGATCACCAATTTACTGCTGATCTCTACATAGCTGCTTTTTATCAATTAAATCGTATAATGTGTGGTCTCTTGTGTCTTTCCTTTGGTATAATGGTTTTGAGGTTCATCCGAATTGCAGCACATATAAGCAGTGAATTACTATTGTAAATATCAGTCCTTTAGGACATTCACATTATTTTCTATCTGCTCACAAATTAAAGGTTATTAGGAAGCTTCTAATTTCAAGCCATTACTTGCAATGATATTAGTTAATTTAAATATATATGTGGAAAATATCTAGGTATGGATGTGACTGTGGATATGTTTTAAAATTTTCTTCTCCCTGGAAGTTATCTTTTTTACATGTTTTTTCCCTAATTCTTTATTGTTGTATCTGTATTTTTATATTAGAAGCTCTCCTGAGATAACAGGAAAATTTCAGTTGTCTTCATAATTAAAATAAGGAACTAATAAATTTAGAATTGTGAGAGAGATCTTTATTGTGGATTTATTACAGAGATTAGGAAATTAGAGGTTAGAGAATTTCTAGGAGCCCTAGAAATTCTTGTATTCATCTTTTAAAAAACATTGGAAAAAACAAATATTTTATAGGGTTAACTTACATGCTTTCATACATTGGACTGTATATTACATTGACTGGATCAGAAAGTTAGAGGTTTGAGCATTTTCACAATCTCCCATGTCTATTTTTAGACCACTTGGGCTTGGGCAGATTTTCTAGGGAAGACTGTTCCAATTTGCAGTGGAAGGATAAAATACACAGAATATATCTCTTCGCTCAGTTCTCAGAATTCAGTGATGTTGCATCTGTCAACTGTGTCATTGCCTGCCAGTCTGTACACAAACTCGGAATGAACTCTCAGCATTTAAAGTGGTAGCAGACAGCTATGGAGCTACGCAGGACAAAGGACATCTGACAGGTTCTTAAACAAAAGTGTATCCTGACTCCTCAGCTCTAATTCCAAAATGAAGTTTCCACCTCCTAAATTCTGGCATTTGTGGTTAATTCAAGTGACATAAAATTGGCATTGGAGTAGTGGTACGTTATTGGAATTTCAAAACTTGGGCTTACCTGATGTGTAAGGGATATGGGAGCACATCTGAGCTGGCCTGTTATGTTATTGACTCCATTTTGTTTTTACTCTATTTTTAAACAATCCGAATGAATAGAACGTTTCTAATTTCACATAAACCTCAGTATGTTTGCTGGCTTAAAATTTAGTTATTGTTCCCTTTCTCTTCTGTGTATACTTTTTTGTTGTCGTTGTTTTCAAACCTAAATATTTACCTCAGGAATTTTCAATGGTACTTTTGTATCTTGTAAGTCTAGGATTGATGGTCAATACTGTTCATCATTGCTATAATTCTCTTATATTTATCGCTTAACAAGTGAAGAAGAAGAACAAATATCTTATAGGGCACACTCACACAGTAGAAAATAGTTACTATATAAGTCAGTGTACTGTTATTTTTGTTTTAGTTGCCAGGAATATAAAATTAGAATTCAGGTGAAATTGTAGCAGTGAATGTTAAGTCTAGAATTACATGAATTTCCCTGGCTTTATATTTTGCTGGAGAAATGTTTGATGGTCCTATATTTTCACCTTTATTTGTGGCTTAGTTTTTTTAATAGTTAATATGTAAAGTTTTAAGAATATGCTTGTCAAATGATGAATCAAGTGCAGAAAAGACAAAGTATTATATGCAATATAGTTCCTTTTCAATTTCCTAGTCATTTTTTTAATAAGTTCAAGATTTGAAGATTTTTGAGCATTTTACTTGGGAGATCTTTCTCATGATAGGCAGAACACCAAAATGTTAATTTAAAGTTAAAGTTAAAGATTCTTCAATTACAAAGTAGATATTCAACTATCATTCTCCTGATGTCTATAGTACCTACAGGCACAACACAGTCTTTTAACAATAGTAAATGACTGTCCTGAATGTTGGTTGAATGAGGGCATAATTTACTATATTCAAATTCACTAAAACTAAATGTAAGAGTATAAGAAAAGTCTGCATGGAAATATTTGTCTTTATCATTGATAAATAAAAAGCACTTAATGTAAACTGAAGGTTTATGTCCCCAACCAAAAAAAAAAAAAATCATGTCTGTGATCCATGATGTCATGGTGTCTGGAGGTAAGGTTTATGGAGGGTCACTGGGTTAAGAGATCACTTTATAAAAAGACCCCTGCCTGGCTCCTCTGTCAGTGAAGATTCAGTAGTAGAACGACCTTTTAGGGATGAGCAGGCTTCACCAACACACAATTACCTGCACCCTTCATCTGTACTTCCAGCCCCAAGAACTATAGAAATTAAATTTCTGTTCTTTATAAGTCATTTAGTACATATAGTTTTATGATAGAAGTCCTAAACATCAAGATGATGTTTAATTGCTTAGTTGTAAAATCTTTTCTCTTCTCTTAACCTACAACCAAATAATGTTGGAGTCTAATAGTCTTAAAACTTAGGTATATCTGTCAAACTATCTTGTATATATATAATTATCAGGTATGACTCTGTGGTCAGTCACTTTTGATTTTCTCTGGCTGGGATAGCCCTTTGTGGTATAAACCTCATGAACCATATCCAAAGAAAAACTTGAACTCACCAAGAGAGATGACATGAAAACTCTACTTACCATCCCAGAAGCAAAAATGAAACCACCAAAAAAAATTTTTTTAATTAAATTATTTCCTCCTGACTACAATATCCACCTGTATAAATGTCAAACTATAAATTTTCATAAGGAAACCAAATCTACCTTATTATCTTTATATTTTTTATGAAACTCATTTTTTTGGTCAACCAAAATTTCTTTATTTTTTATTTTTATTTATTTATTATTATTTTGGGTGTGTGTGTGTGTGTGTGTGTGTGTGTGTATTTAGGACAGAGTCTACAGGGTCTACAGGTTCTCACTATGCAGATTGGACCCTTAGTGGTTCTCCTGTTTTCAGCCTCCCAAGTTCTGGGATTACAGGCATGTGCCACCACGCCCAGTCTCAATGGCTGTCTCAGCGCGTCCCGGGGTCGGGGATGGCACAGCACCCCGGGGATCGAACTCCGGTCGCTGCCCTCTGGCAAAGAAGGAGCTTTAGTGCACTGAGCTACCAGGCTGGCCACCAAAATATCTTTGTGCTTAATAATAAATGTGGTATCTAAAGAAGAAAAAAAAAAACTCAAAAAGATAAATTATCATATATATCAAATAGTAAGATCATTTATTTATCTAAAACTATTATTTCACAAAAGAAGCTAATTTCAAAGATGATGTCATGAGCTAAGGGGACAAAAATGATGTGAAACGCATGACATGAACAAAATCAAAACATGAATGTATGTGAACAGCAGCTACCACACGCTCTTCCATAGTCATCGGCTCTAATTTGCTCTTAAAATTATTGACAGTTCCTCTGGAAAGCTGGGCATTACTCTATCATTTTCTTCTTGGTTTAGAGGTTGAGAATTATTAATTTAATTATTAGTAATTCCTATTTGTTTTGTTTTCAACCACATGCATACAATTGATGAATAAATTAGAAGTCTCAGTTGCATTGAGAATTGTTCTTACGTGGCCGAATCTTAAGATTATTTAGAATTTATTTTTTGGTTGACAATAGTCTAAAAATGACTAAGACTAAATCTATAAAAAGCTTCCAGAGACCAGTGTCCCCTAATTCTACTATAGCCCTTTAACCAATAATAACTGTAAAATTCTGACATAGTTTAAAGGACAATTGAGAAGTTTTAAGTTTCTCAAAATTAATACTGTGCATTCATTAGATAGCACTATTTTCACTTTCTGTGGCATCTTTCAGAAATCAATTTCCAAATTTATCAGAGTAAATCCCCAAACATGACTACTTCAATACTTCCCTACCTCAGATGTAGTAAGTTTCTGAGATTCAGTTCTGTAGATTCCAATGGGAACATCTCCAGTAGAAGAACACAGTTTCTGATAAAGCCTGGCATAAGTTCGGATCCATAAGTCATCCTCAGTGATTTTCATCTGTAATTCACCAGAATTTTTGCATTATAAATATTTAAGAAATGAAAACAATGGACACTTTTCACTTCTTAAATGCAGAATTTACTAATATTTTGAAACTTCAAGAATAAGTGTTTATCCAGGTATTACTGCCTTTTGCCTCAAATTATACTGGGAGCTCACCAATATTTATATTCACCCCAATCATTAGACAATGGGACAATAGTAATCAACTGTAAGGCATTGTTCAAAAAATGGTGAAATTTAGAAATGTAATAACTGGATGCTGCTACTGGTGTTTAGTGGACTGTTTGCGAAGCATTAAAGGCCCTAAAAGACACTCTAATCCAAAAAAAGCATTCCCCAATAACACTCATATTGAAAGAAAGGTATAGTAGAATGAACACAGGTAACTTGAATTCACTGTTATTTATATAACTGTTAGCAAATCTTTTGATACACCTGGACATAGTGTATGCTCATATAAAACAAAGGGGTTGAGCTGGGCGTGGTGGGACATGCCTGGAGTGTCAGAAACATAGGGTGCTGAGTCCCTAAGGACACTTGACCTCAGGAGTTAAAGGTCACCTTGGGACACTCAGAAAAACAAAAAGCAGGTGGATCAACCTCTACAGGGAATGGTTGCCTGGGTATTATATCACCCTAAGCCAAATCTATCAGTCTCAAATTGCTGACTAAGAAAAAAGACTACTTGTTCTGAGATTTGTACAAAATAGCTATTTGCTATGAATATTGATTAAAATAGTATATTTTCCTTGCAAAACTGTTCATGGATTGTAAAATCTCAGATGTTAGTTACACAAATACTGGAAAAAAGTAGTATGTGATTATAGAAATATCAACTGAAGCACATAGTAGATACAAGTTCAGGACCTTGTATCAGAACAATCTTCTGCCCCCAAATTAGTAACTTACAGAACAGAGAAACCCTGATCCTGGTATCGTGTCCAGGCCCAACAGAAGTCTGGTGATAGAAATCATATAATCCTTCACAAATGACTGCAATATAAGCAAATTATGGGTATCAAACATATAGAATTTCAAACACATTTATATATGCATGGAATCTATAGTATAATTATAAATGTGAATATCTAAGTAATTTTAAAGGTTATTTTTAGTGACATGCTATTAAATTGCGATAAGTAGGGCAATAAAAATCTGTCTTGTCAATTATCAAATGTGTAACAAAGCTATTTATAAAGAAATCTAGGAAATAAAGGTTAATTAGAAATACTCAATATACTTAAACTTTATATGTACTTTAAAATACTTTAGATGATAAAAAATATTTTAAATGTTTTCGAAGCAAAAGCAAATTGAAATAAAAATAATAAAAGAATTAAACTAAATTTCTAAAGGAAATTTTTCTTAGAATTAAATGATAAGCTAGTGGGGCCAGGGATAGAGCTCAGCAGCACAGCACCTGCCAGCAAGCAGAAGGTCCCGGGTCTGACTTTCGGTACCCCAAAATACACAATTAATTAACTTTACACTAGTAAAGATCTGAACTATTTTTATCATTAATGATCACATATGTGCTTTTCCAAACTGTATGCTAAAAGTGGAGTCTTTTAATTTTAAATCATCACATTAGCCTGGTATGACAAACTGTCTTGCCTACCAGACAATTTGAAAAGTATAGCCTTCTTTATAACAGACACAGACTACTTGATAACTTAAATAGTGTACTTTAAGTATAACTTAAAATCACTCATGTGTACAAAAGCCATTAATAATCTTTCAAACAATCCCCTGAAAAGAAATTATTTTCTAGAGCTTAACACATTTTTAATTCTCTATTTAAATGTCTTTTAAACAAGGCACAGAAAGAAGTTAAAAGTTGTAGCCAGCAACTTTTTAAATGAAACCACATATACATTGGGGCTGGGGAGATAGCTCAGTAGAATAAGCACCTGCCTGGCAAGTGTAAAGTCCTGAGTTCAATCCCTGGTACCACAAAAGAAAAAAAAAAAAAGACAGAAAGAAACCAAATACACTTCACTAATTTAAAATAACATAGACAATTATAAGCATTTCATATTGTAAGGTTTTTCAGTTCTATTTTTGCACACACAAACATGCAGGTGAGTGTTAGATTGGAATGAAAAAAATATAATGCTTACTCTGTTGTTATTCAAAAACCTTAAAGCCATAGTTCTATCTCATCATATATGTAAGAGCTTAAAAAGCAACTAAGTCACTATGTCTCTATTTCTGTCATAACCTATGAGGAGAAGATGATGAAAAAGTAAAATTGTACAGCACGGTTTTCTGACTTGATGACACCAGAAGCTTGTGTGTGTGTGTGTGTGTGTGTGTGTGTGTGTGTGTGTTAATGGTGTTGGGCATGCAGTTCTGCCTCCTGGAGTCCTCAGATAATGAGCCTGCAAACTTTAGGGAAATGGGAGTATTTATTCTCCTTTGTTGTGTTTTCACTGGTGCTCATCTGGCATAAGCAGATGGTTCCTGACAGTGCTAGAGGCTGACTCAGAGGCAAACTTAGCCCAGAAGCCCACAGAAAAGCTTGAACTATCTTTGGATTATTCAGTCAAGTAATTGTAGACAAGTGTAAATATATAATGAAAAGAGTAGAAACCATACAAATGCTCAAGTACTTGAGTTCACTATTATAAAAGGATTTAAAGTCCTCTGAACATCTTTTTTTATTTTAATGGAAATATTTAGAGATTGAGTATTTTCATCAAAGATCATAAAATATTATTACTCTTCCGGGATTGGCAGAAATAAATACAAGGTTATGTTTCTGTGAATGAACAGTCTCATGAGCCATTTAGTTATGGTAAAAGGGTAATGCTAACTTGGCACTCGGGAAAAAAACTTAATGGTTCATCATTGTAATTTTTTATGTTTTACTAAATTAAGCATAATTATGAGATGTCAAAATGCCCTTAGTTTATTGACATTGACTTGGTAACTTATTTTAAGTCTAAATAAATGATATACTAGGAGGAATATGTTTTTTTGTTACTTTTAACTTATTTTTTCCTATATGTTTTTACAAATCAGTATATTCTGGGAATAACATGAAAAATGCATTACAATATCACAACATCAATCATAGGGCACTGAAATCAACAAAGCCTAAAATAATATCTATAAGTTATTTTCAGGGAACATTTCATAGACTATCCTAGGAACATTTTTGTTATTAAAAACAGGAAATAATTACTTCCAGAGACAAATCAACAGCCTAAATGTTAGTATTTCTTATTAAATAAAATATAAATTACATACAGAATAACCATCTTGCAGAGAAGCATTAGTACCGCCTACCTGGTAGAGCAGTGTGTCCAACATACTGATGCTAAACACTCTTCCAGCAGCGAAAGGCAGCCGGAACATAAAGGCTAAGTTGGAACCTCGCTCTCGTTCTTTCTGTTAGAAATTTGAGGTAGAAAGATGTATGAGCATTCTGCACTTTATGTGTTTTTGCCTAAGCAAATTTGCTTAGCATAAATGCAAAAAGATATTTTTGTCCTGTCACTACATATACATATTTAATATATTTATACATATTTAAAACTGTAGTTTCAAATATACCTCTGATTTTATAAAAATCTTTTCTTACTTGAAACACTGAATAGTCATGATTAATGCTTTTGTGCCTTAAACATTTTTTATTCTTTATAAAAAAGATGATATAGTTTAAAAAAAACACACACACATGCACACAATAAAAGTCATTTAATGGAATGTAAACAACACCTGAAATCACATTTTTTAAAAAGAATATAACATAGTATAGAAAAAAAAAAAAAACAGCATTAGAAATGATACAAGATGTTACCAAAGTAATAGGAATTCAACAGTGGTTGCTGTATTACATGATGTTATCTTCAAATTAGTTGCTCAGATTACCTGATATAAATGTACAAGATTTGTTTAAAGAATAAAACAAAACAACACTTCAGACATTTGCTTTTAGACATTGCCACATGTGAGGGCAAGAAAACAAGCAGATAGGAGACTGCTGTAGTCTCATATATTTGTGTTACTCCAAAATTCCTGTTTATATCCTAGGTGGAAAGGCGGTGAGTCTCAAAACTAGACTTGCTCGGGAAGTAGAGTCAATTAGGCCATGGAAGTGGAGCCCACGGACACTGAACCCCTTCTGTCATGTGCTGCCGTGAGCCAAAGAACACAGCCTCATCGTGCATGCAAGGAGCCACACCTTGATCTTGAGAAGCTCAGCCCTCAGAACTGTGAGAAATCAGCACAGGCTTTAGGCCACCCAGTCTGTGGTAACTGGTCACGGCAATCCCACAAGACCGATCCAGGCTGCCAATATCCTGTCCTCTCTGGTTTTTCACCATCTCAGTTTTAATTCTCCATTTACTTGTTAAGCCACACAGATCTTCAGATAGGGAAAAGAGCAGCAAGGTTGCTGGGGCACTGCGCAAGGTTTTCTTCCAGATAGTTCGGTGAGTGAGCCCTGTTAACAGGATTGCAGTCTTCAAAGCCAAGAATCACCTTCTCCTTTCATTATTTTCTTCTTCTAGCTAGCTAGGAACACTAAATTATATCTTTATGTGTTTGAATTTTTGTCTTGTTCTTTATTTTTATCAATTTTTTTTCCTTTCCTGAAGTAAAACTAAAGAGATCATGGATTTGTTTATATTTGAACCAACAAGGTAGAAATGGTTTGCAGCAGCAGTGGATAGGCCCGGGAGTCACGCCAGTGGCAGCACTCATGTTTCAGAGCTGAGACAGGAGGTGTGCACGGGTAGGCACAGATGGGAACGCACAGGAGCTGAGAACATTCAGTACATTTCGGTGGCTATCAAGTAACTAATGGAAACATTAAGTAGGATAAATACTAAGAACACCCGTGGTCTAGTAATTAGAGTGTGGTTTCCCCAGCAACATTTTTTCTACTTTTTCACTTTGTGAACATCTAATTGTTTGGGTTTTTTTGTTTTGTTTTGTTTTTTGCTTTAAATATTTCAATTAAGACTTAAATATATATGTTAGCCCTCATGGTTTTGTTTTTCAAACTCTTATTATGAGTATCACCTGAACACCAATCTCCAAACTTAATTTCACATCTTACAGGAGTTAATTTTCCATCAAAATGAACATTCTCCTAAATAGTAAATCAGGTAAAAAGTGACAGACTAATCAATCAAAGCGTCTGTGACTTCCTCCCAACACATTTCCAAATCCCATCGCTAATCTATACTATCATTCTTTCTCTCGCCTCCATGCTGCTGCAGCAGTACTTTTCCAATCTTCAATCTCCTATTAATTTTCCAGTATCAAGTCTTCATCACCACAAGACATCTTATGTTGCACTCTCAGTTCATCTTACTACCACCTTGGTTTCATTGTTTGTTCCTAAAACCTAAAGTTAGTCCAGTTCACCCAACAATCAGCCCTTTCTGGACATGCTAGGAGACAGGAGCATGGCTTTCATAAAAGAAGCAACATTTCTTCATGAAATAATCTTATTTTCTGGGTATTATGACTGCCTTAGCAAATAAGCTTCAAACCATGTAGGAAAAACTCAGTGGTCATGATATGTGGTCTTGGGTCTATAGTGAGTTCTTTCTCTCATTTTATCCCTACTGAACCATTTCTGTGTGTGTGTGTGTGTGTGTGTGTGTGTGTGTGTGTGTGTGTGTGTTTAACTCGGGACTTTGCACTTGCCAACTAGGCACTTATGCCACTGAGCTATCTCCTCAGCCCCATACTGATGCATTTCTAACTGTATAGATGCATTTCCTATATTCAGTGATTTGAACTATAACTTTAATTTTAAAAAACCACTTGATAATACCTAAAACATTTTTTATTAGTTGTCTACTTGTACATGATACTTCAGTTCAAGAGATCATGTAGGACATTTAAAGAAAGTCAAGCTTTGAATTGTTTCGATGTCTGGAAATGTCCACCTTTTAAATCTGTGAATACAACATACAACAGTTTGGAGATTGGTTTCCAGGAACTCACACCCTCAAGAGTTTCTTCTTATTGCTTGTATGACATTGAGAAAGCTACTTAAGCTCCTTGTTGCTTTTTAGTTTTTTCAAAAATGTAAAATGTGAGCCTATTAGTATCTACTTCCCCTTGTGATTGCAATAAATAAGGTAAAACTTCAAAATGTATTAACTGTAGCAAGTATTTCTTAAGTGCTCTTTTCTATCATCATCAATTCTTTGCATAAACTATAAGCTTCTCAAGGATTTACATTTCTCTCTTATCCTGTAGTGCTCCCAAGCTCTTATTGGACTACCCTGGTGTTCATCCTAGCTCATTCCTTCCCAAAAAGAAGTCTTAGGGCTGGGATGTAGCTTGGTGGCGCAGTGCCTGCCTGGCAAGCACGAGGTCCTGAGTTCAATTCCCTGTCAAAAAGAAAATGAAAAATTAAAAGCACCCAAAAACAAACGAAGCACACTAAATTAAAACCAAAAAGAGGTCTTAATTTACCATTTTAGGGGCCGGGGAGATGACTGAGTAGGATAAGCGCTTGCCTGGCAAATGCAAGGGCCTGAGTTCAATCCCCTGTTCCACCAAAAATTTTTTTTTTAATTTTATTTATTTATTTATTTGAGAGAGAGAGAGAGAGAGAGAGAGAGAGAGAGAGAGAGAGAGAGAGAGAGAGAGAGAGAGAGAGAGAGAGAGAGAGAGAGAGAGAGAGTCAGCCCACCAGGGGGCAGGGCTGGCTGGCATGTGGTGCTGGGGGATTGAACCGGTCCCTGATGCTTTTGCTAAGCTTGTTCTAAGTAGGTGCTTTAGACCACTGAGCCATCTCTCCAGCCCCCACCAAAAAATAAAAAAAGAAAAATTACCATCTTTAAAGAGAACTTCCCTAATTACCCTTGAAATAAACTACTATTACTATATTTGTGCATCTAATATATATAGTTTCTTATTCATTTAAAAACATTATAGGGCCGACCAAATAGCTCAGTGAATTAAAGTGCCTGCAAGCAGGCACAGGGGCTGCGGGTTCAATCCCAGGGCCTGCTGTGCCAGCCCTGCCCCCAGGGCACGCTGAGAGGGCAATTGAGACTAGGTGTGGTGGTGCATGTCTATAATCCCAGCTCTTGGGAGGCTGTAAATAGGTGGATCACTGCATGTCCAATCTAGTAGTGAGACACTGAACACCCTGTAGACCCTTCCCTAAAAAATAAAAAATAAAATAAAAACTTTATTAATGGGCCTGATCATTAATAAATAAACTGCTATTACTGTATTTGTGCATCGAAATATATATAGTTTCTTATTCATTTAAAAACTTTATAGGACCTGACCAGATAGCTTAGTGGACTAAAGGGCCTTCTTAGGCAGGCTCAGGGACCAGGGTTTGAACCCTGGCATGCCTTGCCAGCTCCACCACCAGGGCACATTGAGATGACAACTGAGACTGGGTGTGGTGGTGTGTGTCTGTAATCCTAGCTCTTTTGCAAGGCTGAGAACAGGAGACTCATTATGAGTCTGAGCTGCAAGGTGAGACCCTGTAAACCCTGTACTAAATAAAAAACAGAGAGAGAGAGAGAGAGAGAGAGACAGAGACAGAGAGAGAGAGAGAGAGAGAGAGAGAGAGAGAGAGAGAGAGAGAGAAAGAGAACCTTTATTAGTGGTCTGATGCAGCTAAATAATAAGTTATTTGTGGACCACACTATGTTTTTGCTTTCTCTTACAACAGTGCCTGGTACACAGATGGTCAGTGAAATCTTCATATATAAGTGAATAGTTCACTGAATGGTTTAAAACTTTTAACATTCGTAATGGGGAGACAAAAAGCAAGGGCACTGAGGTTCATCCCATAGCTCATCTGTTTTACTTCATTTAATGGAAGTTTGGAGGTACAAAGGACTATAATATTGTTTCCTTTCTATTTCCTCCATTACACAATTCTGTATTCAACTGAAGTTTCATTAGTGATTTCTAATCTTTTTAAACAATTGCCCATCAAAAATACATAAAAAACTGAAATACTTCATTCATTTTGCCAAGATTCCAGGCCCTTGGATCCCCTTGATTGTACCTGGCTTTCTGTTAGGTTTGCTCTCACGAACATATGCCTTCACAGAAGAAGAAACTTGTTTCTGGCGGGAATTTTGTTTTCTCTAATCTGTGTCCATCAATACCATATGGAAAGACATAATGACACACAATGACATGACTGCATTCAACAGAACAGTGTGGGAGGTGAAAAGCATGAGAATGTTATTGGCACAAATTAGTGGCTTGTATCCCCTACACTCTTAATTATAATTCTTTTACATTTTTTTTCATTTTTCCCTGTGGGCCCAATCACAAGCTAACCACTGAATCTAGAGTTTCTTCTCAACATTTATCCTTCGTGAACTGTCTTACAGCTTTTGAAGAAATATATGCTAACTGTATAAATTTCTTTCCTCAATATAGTT